TAAGAACAATTTTGTCTCCTGGATAGTCATGATGAACATGATGAAATCGATTTTTTAGTGAAATTAAGTGTCATTGCAAAGGACATGACTTGAATTTGTGCCTTTTCAAGGTTTTATATCATTCTCGTCGATAGTCAATTTATGATGATAGATATTTAGGTTGCATTCGAAAATGCTCTATGTCTAAACATATAATTGAGAAATGACCTTGTATCTTGTGAACTATTGACATTTTTAAAGATAAAAGCTCATATTAATGTTACACTCATCGAGACCTTTCATTTGAGTACCCACATCAATTTTTCATATATTTATATATATTATATATATGTATATATGAAAAATATATCAAAAATGCATGTGGGTACTCAAATGACAGCTCTTGATGAGTGTAACATCAACACGAGCTTATATTTTGAAAAATATCAATAATTACGAAATGACCTTGTATCTTGTGAATTATTGACATTTTTAAAGATATAAGCTCATCCCGACATTACACTCATCGAGACCTTTCATTTGAGTAACTACATCTATTTTTCATATATTTTATATATTTATATATATTATATATATGTATATTTGAAAAATATATCAAAAATGCATGTGGGTACTTAAATGAAAGCTCTTGATAAGTGTAACATCGGGATGAGCTTATATCTTTAAAAATGTCAATAGTTTATCAGATACAAGGTCATTTCTTCATTACGTACCTAGACACAGAGCATTTTCAAATGCAGCCTAAATTCTTATTGTAATAAATTGACTATTGGTGAGAATGATATGAAACCTTGAAAAGGCACAACTCTAAGCAAAAACTCATTTTATCACATAAATACACTGGTCACAAAATTTTCCTTATTCTTTTAATAATATAGATTATTAGTATTATTATTTAATTATTATTATTGTTTTAACTATTATTGCCTACAACATGAAAATCATGTGGTTGCCCCAATTTTTTTTTTCCGTGTATATATTATGGGAATCATTTCGAACTCACTCCGCACGAAAATTTTATCTTTATTTTATTTTGAGAATGATTCTCATAATGGTGTAGGAATGATTCCTATAATGTTCTAGGAATCCTTCCTATATCATTATGGTAATAGTTCCCATAATAATATAGGAACCATTACTATATCATTATGGGAATATTTCCCATAAAATTATGGGAATAGTTCCCATATTTTTCTTTCCGTGTAGTAAATGATTTGTTAAATATTAACAAATATTTTTAACTATAAACAAATCCTTCTATCAATGCATTATCATCTTCATGAACATAATTACGATCATGATAACCATTATCGTAATTATCATAATGGTGATAATTAAAGTGATCATGTTAATGATGATAGTAATTACGGTGATGATCATTATAATGACGATGATGTTGGTGATTAATCAGATTCTCTTAGTACCCTTTACGAGAGATTTCTACTATACATTGAAATTTAAAGACATCCAATCATACGATTTAAAACAACAAATTTAAAATTTTACCATCATCTTCTCACATCAGATTTTTTCTCAGTTTTAACATCAAATTCTCTGCAATAACAATGAGCATAAAAAGATAAAATTGATAAAACTAGTTGATTTGACACTTGTTTGAGTACATAGCATAATACTAATATATATATAAATATGATAATATACTCGAGTCTAATAACTTAACAATTATAACTCTAAATTTGACTATTCTTGATTTTTATTCGTTTCAGTTTCTCAATTTTAGACGATCAATAAAAATGAAATACACTCATACACCGCACTAAATAAAAGTAGGTACCCGGTTTCTCCTGTGCACAGCTGCTGCCGCTATCCGGATTCTCATTGTCGCTCTTTCTTATTTTATATTATTGTATTCATATATATATATATATATATATATCTGTATATTCTTTTTTAATTTTATTATTTTCATTTTTGTTTGCACGATACCACTCAAAGTCTATCGCGTCCTTCATTATTAGAATTCGATAATCGATATTTATTTTATGAATACTATTCAGCAATACAACAATATTGCTCGGGTTTTGTTGAAAAATAAAAAAATAAAATTAATTATTTTTATTCTTTGTTTACTCTATTACTTCCTTGACTTTATTTTCTAAGCTTTTATGCTGTTTTCCGACTTTATTTTTGTATGCACGACAAAAATATATTATTTTTGCTATTTTAGTGCTTAACAAAACTATTCTCATAAATTCATAAAATAAATTACTTAATATTATTTTAGCGTGTATATAACACTTGAACTATTGACTTGTTATAACTTTTTTCTCCAAAAAATTAAATTTCTTCAGAAAGTTATTTGTATTAAATTTTATAGGAGATTGCACAGCACAGTTATAACTTTTTGTTAAATCTTGTTGAAAAGTTTTTAATATTTATTGGTCGACGACTTTCGATTAAAATCTTACTCTAAGTACTAAAAAATATACTTATCGTGACCCGGATTATTTTATATTACCTATAACTTAAAATTTTCGCTATTTAATATAAAATAACTTGAAGAAATTGTTAGATTCAAGAAGAATATTTTATTCAAAATTCCAGTCTTATTTTAAGATATTTTTAAAAAAATAAGCTGAAAATTTTTCAGAAAAATTTTACTCTAACGAAACACTTTACGGTTTAACATACGCTATAACGTTAGTTCAAGACATTACGGAGTTGTTTCAAAAATCAAAAAAGGTCTTAATACATGGAGAGAAAAATGTGGAAATCATTCCTATAATTTTAATGAAATATTTTCCTAAACCATTTTAGGAGTGATTACTTAAATTATGGGAATTATACCTATAATTATAATTGTAATATCGGCATGATTCCCATAATATATAGGAATGGTTCCCATAATATATAGGAATAGTTTCCATAATATTATAGGAACCATTCCTATAATATTATGGGAACCATTCCCATAATATTATAGGAATGATGCCAATAATATTGGAGTTATTTTTTTTTCACACAACTGTGGTATTGAATTAATTACTTTTCACTAGATTTATTTTTTTTTAATTAAGTGATTCTTTTTTTATAATATATAAATTGATAAAAAAAGTTATCAGTAATAATATTTATCATTATGAAATTAATCAGTTGCAACAGTTGATATTTTTTTAATCTTGAATGATATACATGCTTGTAAATTAAAATAAAATTAATTAAAAAAAAAAAAAAAGTTAATTAAAAAAAAAAATTTCTACTTTAAAAAAAAAATTTCTTAAATAAAATCAAATTTCCAATTGTTTTGAAATTCCAAATTTTCAAATGTTTTCGCGGCTCAACGTATGTATTCTAAATAAATAATTTGCTTTGAAAATAAAATGAAATTGTGAAAATAAACCATGAATTTCCATATCTATTTTGCTCCTACAATTGTATAGTGAGAAAATATTCTTTTTATTAGAGAAACTTTGGAATTGCTACAATATTTTTCAATATTATTTAACACAATAATAACTGAGGTGGAATAAATAATTCAAGATTAAGTTCACACGTGAATAAAAATTATGAAAAAGAAATTTTTTCACTCTAGTGATAGATCAATTTTTATTTACAAAAAAAAATTTTATTAGCAAAAAAATACATAATAATTACTTTATATTTTTGAAGTAATTGCTTCATTATTAAGAAAATAAACTTTTTTCTATTATTATGTGTGTCATTCCCATAATATTATAGGAACCATTCCCATAATATATTGAAGCTATTCCATTATTGTATAGGAACGTTTCCAATAAATTATGGGTATAGTTCCCATAATGAGTATAGGATTAATGCCTATAATGATAATTTTATTATAGGATCCATTCCCATAATTGTTGGAAAGATTCCTATAAATTTCTCTCCGTGTACATTTGAAAATTTTCTGCATCGATGAAGAATAACATATTTCTGAATCAAGTAATAATAATTACTGACCGAAGATATTGGTGTTTTAAGCCAAGATGCCGAAATTCAAGACAAAAAATTCTTGAAATACGACAATTGGTGAACTTTTTTAGAAAGATTATTTCTCTTGAATCAAGACAGATTATTTATTAATCTTGGACACTTATACAATTTTTTTTCTAAAATTTGACAGTCAAAATAATTATCTATGGCTATAAAATAATTATAAATGAGAATACTTTTGTTTTTACACTTTCTCAACTAATCGCTTAAAGTTAAATCACATAACAGTGTTAATATTGTTTATAACAAAAATCCTTACTATAAATATGTGTCTTCCTCTTTATAAAGCGACGCACATTGAAAAACTCGTACACTGAAAATAACATTTGTGTTTTAAAATAAAATGTGGATCACATCACATCTATTTGCTCCCTAATATCACCGCCTAGATAATGTAATTTTTAATTATTTTAGAATTTAGTAATCTATTTATTATTATCATTATTAATACTGCCATTATAATTATAATTATAATTATTATTATTGATCTAATTATTACTGCTATTATTATTTTTACTATATTATTATTAGTATCACAATTATTTTTTTGTGAATGTAATCGTTGTGTTACAAAAACTTCTCTCTCCCCGATCTTTCCCTGCTGCGCCGGACCCGAAGGAGGAAAAAAGGTGACAATATACGGTGCACCTTGTAAAAAGTCCACAATTGCTACCACGAAATAAATAAAAATAATTAATGTTTAATATAAATAAAAAAAAAATTTTATGAAAAAAAAACTTCACAAAAAAAAAATAAATTATTGAATGATAAAATTGGAAATTAAAAAAAAAGATCATTTGAGGGATTAAAAAAAATCCATTCACTGCCACCACTGAAAATTCCTCACATTTCACGACCAATTTTGCACAAGAATGCGCATGTGCATGCTACCCTGCTTGCATCCTAAATTCGAGTTGATCAAATTTATGAATTTTAATTAACATAATTAATTGTTGTTCTTGTTTATTTGTGTTTATTATTACGTCGTTGCACGTATTTGTCACTGCGATATAGTGAGACATTAATTGATGAGACAAATTGATTTTCTACTGAATAAACAATTTATATTATTGTATGTAATGATTGAAAAAACCAAAAATTATTCTTACCTAAAAAATTTACTAAATAATTTCATTGTACATTTAATAAATTCATTTCAGAATTTTTGTTTGAAGCTCATGCATGATAAAATATTTTTTCAATTTATTTTTACATATAGGCTTTAAGAAAAATTCTGAAAAAATGTTTAATCTATAAAATTATTAAAAAATTTCTTAAATGGTTGAAAAATTTTATAAACATTTTAATTGCTTTATTTTTAAAAGAAAAATAATTTCTTTGTTTTATAAAAACTGTTTGTAGCGCGAAAAAGAAAGATTAATTGATCACTTTACGCGGTTGTTTTGATATTTTAGGCAAACAAATTATTTTTATAACTTCCCGTGTAAAAAAAAAATCGTCTTAAAATTGTCGTTCGTTTAAGATCCGATCTTAAACGTGACACAAACTAAGACTATTTTAAGACTCTTTTAAGACGCCAAAAGAAAAATTCCGAGAGCAGATTTTTGAAAATTTTGTTCTCGAATTTGTTATGAAAATTAATTTTTAGATGATTTTACGACTTTATAACCGCAATATTTTTGAGTAAGATGTTTTTAAATTGAATTTAAAATTAGTTAAAAATTAATTATCTGACAATTTTAAGTACTTTTTTTAAGAACGTTTCCGTGCCGCTGTTAGCCCATCTTAAAATAGTCTAAATTTTTTTTAAGACTAATTTAAGATAATTTCAACGACAAAAAAATTTTTTAATATTTTTTTTTTCAAATTTCTACAAGACTATTTCAAGATTTTTCAAGACTATTTAAAAATTATTTTAAAATTTAAATCTTAAAATAGTCTTAAAAAAATCTTAAAATCGTCTTGAAAAAATCTCAAAATAGTCTTAAAAAAATCAAAATAATTATTAAAAAATCTCGGAATTTTTTTTTTTGACATCTTAAAAGAGTCTTAAAATAGTCTTAGTTTGTGTCACGTTTAAGATCTTAAACGAACGACAATTTTAAGACGATTTTTTTTACACGGGTTAATTGTGAAACTAAAAAAATTTGGTTAAGAACCAAATAAATTTGATTAAGATCTTCTTGCAGTGCTTACAAAAACTTTTGAAAAGAATATAATTTAAAGAAAAATGAGCTTCTATATCTAGTTTTTAAACTATAGAGTTAATTTATTACAAATTCGTCAACGTTCCAAAAATTTGAATTAATTTAAAGAAACTGTAGTAAATTATAGTCTTGACCAAGAAGTTTTGAATGTTGCCAACTAATACGAGAACCTAATTATTTTTAGCAATAAAAAATTTGAGGTAATAAACGCTATTGAGTGAAAAATAAAAAAATTGAAGGTTTTATAGAACTCGCCTAAGCAAACTGATCAAAGTTCTATTATATCTCAGAAAATAATTCCTAGAATACATAAAAACAGTTAAATTTTCTTGTTACTCAAAAATTAAAAAAATTCATATTATTTTAAGTGATCAATTTCTTCTCTCATCGCATAATTAATGTAAATAATATTATTCCATTTAACCGCTTCGGTAGTTTTCTCCGTTTTCTAACCAAGAACTTGAAAAGAATACATAATTTGCAGAATAATCAAATATTGTACAATGAAAGCTTAATTAGAAAATATCAACAAACAAACCATCTTATCACCTGAATGTTTCGCTAAATCGTAAAAGTTTATTTCCAACGAAAACTAACCAGAACATAATTTTGTATAGATCTAGAAAAAGCCGAGTACCAGGTTTGAATCTTCTCCGAGAGATCTTGGCCGCAGACAGCCCGGATACTTATCGGTGCCGGCCTCTCAGCAAGATATCCCGAGCAGCAGACGGCCGTTTTGTAATCGCAGATTCCGTGCTCAGTTCAGCAAACAACAGCATCCTCGATGCATCTAGCAGCGACGACGGTGGTTTCCTTCCAAAATCAAGCCGCCTGAAATCATCCTGGCGACGTCCTCTGGTGGGTACCAGCCAAATGAGCCTGCGCTCCGACGGCAGTGGAGTTTCAGTGAGCATGCCTCCCTCAGCGTATCTCGGCATCACCAATCCGCTGATGCAGCCAATGCCAACAATCTGCACCATATCCCCTGGATTCTTCGCCAGTTCCCCTAACGCTCCAGTTTCTGTTCCCTGGAGCCCCACAACGACCATGTACCTCAGCGATTTGAGCTCAGTCCGACAGCCATCTTCAGTAGAACGATCTTTCCCAACTCCTCCAGGCTACCACCAGCAGCTAAGACACCTCCATCAACGCTACAGCCAAGAATTGCCATCACTGAAAGCAATCCACGCAGAGTCCCAACGATTTATTCCAGTGCATCCTTTGGCAACTTCATCCCCGCCTCAAACTGCTGGTAGACCACGTGCTAGACTGCCCCCTCGTCATGCCAAACACGCGCGATCTGCTCCAGAATTAGCAGCGTCTCCAGATCTCCATTTGTCAGAAACCTCACCGGAGAGCCGCTCGAGCAGTTCCGGTTTTGGTAGCAAAAATACTTCGCAGCAAAATCAAAGCTCACGGAGTGGCAGTACTGTTGCTGAATGGCGACCTCCACCTTACCGACCGCCACCCCCACCACTGCTGGGCCGATGGCTTGAACTCCAAGACCAGCCGGTTAAAATTCCTCATGTTCATCCGGCGGTAGATGTTGGTAGTGTGGACGGACACTACGAATTTGATCCTGTTTCTTGTACTCCGACGCCGACTTCAGCGTCAACTCCTACAAGGGAAGAACGTCCGCCTGTTCATCACATTCACATCCAGCTGCCGATTCACCAGGTTCACACGACCACCACCACCCATCATCAACCATCGAGGTACTCTAGGGACAGCATTGAGGCAAGGGTCCAGGCTATGAAGGCTGAGTTTCATCAGTTTAGACAGAGACAGGCAAGAAGGAAACGAAGTGCCCAGTTAGAGAGTGCTTGCTGATAAATAATTATCTTTTTGCTTTGATATTAAGTACTGTTGATTGTATTGTTTCGGTTATTCAAGTAAAAGGTTTTGTTAATGGTGTGATTAAATGAAAACACTTTAGTGGTCAGATGGTACTTTAAATACTTTAAATGGAAAATATTAATTTTTCGCTACTGTAGAGTTTTAAATAGGTTGCTAATATTGAAATGCTTCACACACCTAAAGTATTCACTTTATTAAGATATATCATTTATTTTTATTGTCAAATTATTTATTTACTTAATTTTTAATTAAGTTTGTGTAACTTGAGATTGATAAGTATGGTTCTGTTAAATTAATCAATTTAATTGTAATTATTCACCGTTGTACAAAAACTTTTGGTGATTGTTTGGATGTTGATTTTTTTTTTATTATAAATTGTGAAAATGACTTGTATTCTTTGATTTATTGATTAATAAATACATACTTCTATTCATAAGTAAACAAGTTTTGACAAATACTCAGTTTTATGATACTCAGATAAATAATTATAGATAATGATAATGATCTCAAAAGATGAAAATTTTTTATTTTATGTTGTTACTTGAAATGATGGAAGTATGGTTGAAAATTCATGAATATATATGTAGGTAGTTTTATGTCAGATTAACTTTTGATTTTTGAGAAGTAATTGTAAAATGAAGGTCAAGAAAATGGAACCTCATTTATTATTAAAATTTGGAGATATTATTATGAGAAAATTCCACTGGTAAAAATAAAAAAAACATTATAAGTGCGAATTAAAAAAAATAGTTTTTATCATAATTGATTTGTTACAAGAATTCTAAAAATCTTAAATATTATTCAATTTTAAAATAATAGGAAGTACATCGTGATTTAAAAAAAAGCGAATAACTGTTTTAAAATTTATAAAAATCCCGAAATTGTAAACGATTTTAAATGAGCGATTTTTAAGTTTTAAAATATAGTTAATTGTGAATTTTTGATTAATTTTTTGAAATTTATGATACAATAATTTACTGCGATTTTGTTGTAAAAAAAACTTTTTTTTTTTTTTTTCAATTTTTAATAACTTTTGGTCGTTTAAAATTTTTTTAATAAACTATACGGAAAGAACAAGATGACACTGGATATCATCCCAGATTATACTCAGTGATATCTGTGGTGAAAAAAAATTATCGATAGTAGCTAAAAAAATCCAGATTATACTGCGTGATCTGGATTATACTCATTGTAATCTGGTATGATACCCAGTGTCATCTTGTTCTTTCTGTCTACAATACTTAAATATTTTCGACAAATTTTTCTCTTAAATTTTCTCAAAAAAATTATTTAAAAAATCATTGATTTGACATCAAATAACCTACGTAAAAAATAATTTATTATAAATAAATAAAAATTATTTGATCGTTTAGATTCATCGGTTAAAAAAAAATTATTCGAATTAACGATCGAAAATTGTCGAGAAACATCTAAACAATTACCAAACTTTTAATGTTAATTTAGGTAAAAATAATAATAAAAATTAGTTAATATATACTGAAAATTATTCTTAAGTTTAAATGATATAAATTCTTAAATATTTTTTTTACTTAATTAATTTATAATTTAAAAATGTAAATTAATCGAAAATAACTCATAAAGTAATTTTATAAATAATAATAACAAACTTACTTTAAAAGTAAACAATAATTTAACGTCAACAGGATTTTAAAAAATTTATAAAGTTTTTTTACAATCATAAAATTTTAAAAATACGTTTGCTGGATTAATTAACGAATGATAATTATTTTATTTTTTTTTATTAATTATAATTGTAAAATCGATTTGCACTTAAATTTATTGTGACATAGTGATATGATATTAAGTAGCGGTCTTTTTGATATATTAGTAATAATATAAAAAAAAATGAAATAAAATAAAAATAAACTAAAAACAAATGGTAAAATTTTTTGTATTGCGTGCCAACTGTTTTCGGCGGCTCAACGTAAACATTTAAGCGCAAATAAGAATCTAAACATGGCTGTGGGAAAAACACACGCCAAAGAAATTTATAAAAAAAACATGTGCGTACACCTAACGGAGTTAACTTAATTATATAATACGTATGTAAAATTATCACAGAAGAAAAGTTAAAAAAAAAAATAAAAAGAAAAACTAATAATTAAAATAACATAAAATAAAAGACAAAGTAATTAATTCGATGAGCAATGGACTCGAAACGTGATATTAGGCCGAAGCTTGCCTCGAGATTGCTTAAGAACTCAAAAAAGTTCTCGTACTGCACTGCCTATTTAGGGTTTCGCTAGCAACCCAACATATTATCGGCACAATAATTTTTCTTAAGCAACGTAACGATAATTATTTAATACACAATGTATTTTAAATAATTATTATAATGTGGATGACTCTTGTTGATTTATTATTGACTAGCATCGTTAATGAATAAATATATCCTTATATTAAAATATTAAACGAAAAAATAAATCATTTTTTTTCATTCAAACGCTTCGTACGCTTTAACTATTTGTTTAGATATCACTCATTTTTTTTAGATTGTTTTATTTATCAAATATTGTAAGTGTTTTGTCAAAGTAATTAATTTACATTATTTTAAGAGAAATTCGGTCAAAATTCACTACATATATAAATGTTTTTCTATAACTCGTTGTCATTTTTTGTAAAAGATTTCTTGTAAAATAGTGTAATTTAAATAATTTTATAAAACATTTACTTTTTAGTTAAATTTAATTTTCTATTAAAAATATAAGTGTTTCAATGTAATCTAAATTTAAATAGCTTGGGTGTTGGAAGAGTTTGAATTAGAAAATATTGTTTTTTGTAAATATATCAGTTGAAACATTGGATTGAAATTTTTGAAAATTTTACACTAGAACGTTGATTTTTTTAGTTCGATAATGAAATTTATTTGATACGTATATTGAAAATATCGTTCGATTTTGAAATCCTTGTTTCAATACACGTGTAAAAATAATTTGTTCCTTGATACTTTATTTGCTATTACAAATTAATCATGGAAAATTATGTCGTGTTTTTAATACCAAATGTTCGGAAGATTTCGAGATAATATTGAAGAAAATAATATTATACCTAAGCTCTGCATATTGAGGCGTGAAAAAAAATTGTTTTAAAATCCTAAGCAAATTTTCTCATTTGGTTTTTAATTTTGAAGCTCATGTTGAGAGAGTGTAATTTAATAAATAACTTCTTTTCATGTACATAAATGAAAGTCATAAAAATGTGTTGAAATTTTTATATATATTTTGAATTTTAAAGTAATTTATTTCTTCTTTTAATACTTTTTTATTAAAATTTTTTCGTTTTTTCGAAATTAGACTTTAATTATTCTTCTGCATTAAATTAGTAAATTATTAATGTTGACTCTAAATCAAAGAGATATTTGTAAATGGATTAGAATTGAAGTTACACATATTTTTGACTATAAACAATTGAAAAATTACCATAATTAAGTTTTTTTTAAACAATTGCATATTTCTTTTTCAAATTTTATTATAAATCCATTAATTTGAAAAGAAGAAATGTTTAAAACTCATTTTTTAAGATAATTTCCTTCATAATAAAATTTAAAAGAAGAATATGCAATTGTTTACAAAAAATTTAGTTATTTCAATTTAATATATGTATTTTTCACGTTTATAAATTCATATTCTTAAATAAAATATCGTGAAAAAAAATTTTTAGATTTTTATGGTCAAAAATAAATGTAGCAATTATAAAAAAAATTATAAAACGCAGTTTTGATTTATTTGTGTATTTGTTTACATTAAAAAAAAAATGTAAGGTTACACGGAAAGAACAAGATGACACTGGATATCATCCCAGATTATACTGAGTAAAAAAAAATTTCAGATAATAGCTAGTATAATCCAGATTACAATGACTATAATCCAGATTATAATGAGTATAATCCAGATATCACGAAGTATAATCTGGATTTTTTTAGCTACTATGAATTACTCTATAATTTTTTTCCACCACAGATATCACTGAGTATAATCTGGGATGATATCCAGTGTCATCTTGTTCTTTCCGTGTAGTTTCGACATCTATGGTATTAGAAGAAACGCGACCCATGAATTTTTTTTGGTTAAAAAAAAAGAATAAATAAAATTAATAAATAAATAATTAGATAACTAAATAAAATAAATAAAAAATTGTTAAATATTATATTATAATTTAAAAAATTTGTCATCGAGTTATTTATCAATATCTTATACTTTTGTTATAGTACAAACACATACACATATATGTATATGTGTATATATACATACCGTGTATATATGCATAATACATGAATAAATAATAAATAATTAAAGAAGAAACTAAATATAATTATAAATGTAATTAAATAAATAAACAATGGTTTAAATAGGGCTCTACTCACGATTCAACTATACTTTGAGGTAAATAAATAAATAAATAAAATATGTATCGACAAATAATGTAAACGTCGATAATGCTGTATGTAAGCTCATTAATAGAAGAAGAATGAAATAGATATGATTATCGTGAGAATGTGATTATATTATTTAAAATAATGAATGATTATGAATAGTAAGATGTGAAGGTGACACACAGAGTACCAATATTCTAAAGTAATTCTAATAATTGAATTAATTATTTGATAATTGTAAATCATAATTAATTGTAGGCTGTAGCGTATTAACCAACGACGAGACGATGATTATAAAATAATAAAAATAATATTAATATTAATAATTATTATAATTAATAAGTTGATGATTATGAAGATGATAACGATTAATGATGGTGGTAATGATTAATGATTAATGAAAGGCTCTGAGAGTAAGTGTGTGTTTTTAAAGTGAATTTAAAACCTTATTCAACGTTCGATTAGTAGTCGGTCATTGCCGTTGTATCATACTTGATGATTGAAAAGTGAAGATATGAATTTTTAAATAAAAATTAAAACATTTATAAAGTTTAAGATATTATAATGTTTCAATTTGTAC